GTTCTTGTATGTTGTATGTGAGGGGACTGCGGATGGAAATTAGCTTAAAGCTCAAATCCGGCTCATTTACGCTTGTAAGCATTGTTTTGTTTTAAAGTGTTCATCGATGTGCACTGTCCCGGTTCAAATAAACGATTAAATGAAAGAAATGAAATTTGGATTGGACAGATTGCATATTTAACTGAGAAACAATTGTCCACAGTAGAGATATCATTTTCATCTTGTGCTTTCTATATCCAATTGTGGCAACACTCCTCATTGTAGTCAAAATCAGCCAACAGAGAGTACAAATAATGCCACTTTCTGGTTAGATCTGCCATTTCTGATCCTAAAAGAAATTCTAAAATGGACTCATTATAGCCTGGACATAGGCTATTATGCCATTCATGCTAATCAGTTTAGTTTATTGGTTTAGTTATCAGGGACCAACTACAAAAAGAACATCAATCTCAAAGAGACAAGATGCTTTGTACAAGATTATAGCAGTCTGCTCATTTACATCTGCAGTCCTTGGGCATTAACGCAACCAATGCTTATTGTGCAAACTGCCCAACATATGCAAGTTACCATCTGGCATTTTCTATGTGCTGGGACCCAAATTAGACATTTCTATCATAAAACTTGGGTGTACTCAACATTCTGGGTTCACACTGCTGGCAACGAGACTATAGTCCAACACAGCAGCAAACTGAACACCAAACTTCTGTTTCCTGTTTGTCCAAGCAGCTGTTCGTGGCTTTGGATGCACTGAAGGGTCTTGGTGTCCTGCATACGGATATCAAACCCGACAACGTAATGTGTGTCAACCAGCTGGACCAGCCCTTTAGAGTGAAGTTAATAGACTTTGGTGAAGCTATGACATCCTCTGAAGTCCAGACTGGTATGGATCTTCAGCCAGCAGGGTACAGGTGGGTTCCTCCAACCATGTTGCTCTCTTGGTCCTCTGCACCTGCCGACAAAGATCTAATCTTTGGGCTTCCTCCTCAGATCTCCAGAGATTGCCCTGGGCCTCCCGTTCACCGAGGCTATCGATGTGTGGGGGGTGGGCTGCATCCTGGCCTTCCTCTATCTGGCTGAAAACCTCTTCCCTGTTGACTGTGAATATCAGATGGTGGGTTGTCTACCTCAGACGAATGTCCGCAGAGACCTTTATGCAGAATGTCAGCTGTAACTCTGTCTATCTCTCTTATTCGGTTGCTGCTGTACCTCCTGAATTTCCCTACGGGATCAATAAAGGATTTTCTTTTAGCTCATGTTATCTTGTCTGCAGATGAAGTGCATGGTTGAGGTTCTCGGTCAGCCGGAGGACTACATGCTCCGCGCTGGCATACATACAAAGTACTTCTTCATTGAGGAAGTGGCCGCTCACCATCCAACCTGGAGGCTGATGGTAGAGTACCTATGTTCATCTTTGTTTTTGTTGGTTAAATCAGTGGATGTTAACTGTTTTAGAAAGATTCTCATGTTTATTGTGTTCCTTTAGACGCCTTGTGAATTTACAGATGTCAACAACATCCAGGCAGAAGAGCGGCACAGCTTAATTGACCTCCCAGGCTCTTTGGATGATCTTGTCAATGTACCTACTCTTTGTCTGTTTTGCATAAGACTGAAACAGTACCAGTCTGAGAGTTGGGGCTGCATCAACTGAGCTTAACCTGTTTTCAGATCCAGATCCATCCAGAAGAGGAGGCTGCTGAGATTGAGGACAGGATGGCTTTTGTGGACCTCCTCAAACGGCTTCTGCATGTTGACGGGGATCAGAGAATCTCTCCCCAGCATGCTCTGCAGCACTCCTTCATCACAAAGTGGCACCTGACCGAGCCCTTTGACAGCAGAGCCCCGTAAGTTACTGTTCACACTAGCAGGAGATAACCTCTGAGGTTGGTAGGCTGTTTACTTTATGGATTGACTGAATGATTCACCTCCAGTCTGCACCTCCAGAACCACGACGAGCGTCTGCTCAGTGGGGGCCTCAGGAGACAACACATCAGCCACTTTTATATTTGATGGAAGCAATGAGCCCTCCATACTGTCACCTGATGGAGATGCAGTCACTCACTCCAACATAGATTGGGCTGGCTGGTCTTCTGAGGGAGAAATACTTCCAGGCTCCTCTGAAGAAGATCAAGATGCCTGGCTTTCTGAGGGAGAAATATCTCCATTCTCAAATGAAGAATATTCAGTTTCCTGGTTTTCTGAGGGAGAATTACCTTCATGCTCCAATGAAAAAGAACCCGATGCCTTGTCTTCTGATGGAGCAAACCCACCCGAGCTCACTGCTGCAATGGTCAGACTCAAAGAATTATGATTAGCTTTCGCAGATTCCTCGGTCGGATCCGAGCTACCGTCTGTTGCTGCTGGTGTTGCTGAGGACTGAATGCATTTTTATTACCTTTTTACTTTTTTAATTGTTTTGTGTTTGATACTTTGTAACAGTCTCTTTATAAAATGTATTGTTTTTTTTAACTGCAACCAAATGCCTCATGCTGCCTCATTCCTTACAAGTCAGGAAACAGTTGAATTCTTTGAACACACACTGTTCCAACACTCTCTAATACTCAGTATAGTTTACTGTATTGATTAAAAGCACCCACTGCATGTGCTTTGTAATTTATAGTTCATTATTAAAAAATGTATTGTAACCAGTGGTGGGAGAAGTACTCAGATCTTGTACTTGAGTCGAAGTAGAAGTACCAGATCGTACGAATACTCTGTTACAAGTAAAAGTCATGCTTTCAAAATGTAACTTAAGTAAAAGTAGAAAAGTATTAGCATAAAAATATACTTAAAGTACCACCCAAAAAAAAGTAGTGATTGTGCAGATTGGTCCATTTCAGAATAATATATATGATATGTTTTATAATGATTGATCATTAAAGTGTTATCAAAGCTGGTAAAGGTGCAGCTAGTTTGAATGACTTTGTATACTGCAGGGTAGCTTGTGAATTTACTCCAGGTGGAACTAAAGTCTGATTTAACACTTGATTATATTTCACATCATTAATCCACATCTGTGAAGTAACTAAAGGTATTAAATACATGTAGTGGAGTAAAGGTACACGATTTACCTCTGAATTGTAGTGGGGTAGAAGCAGGGGCGTCGCCTGGACCTGAAAACATTCGGGGCTTAGCCCACAGTGGCGGTGGCACTACAGTGGCATTTGTTTACTGCAACACTCCCCACACGCACACACAGTACACCCGCGACTGTTACAATGAAGGCTTGATAATCAGCTCACGGCATATAGGCAGGGGTAAAGTGGTATTTTTTATGAGTGGGGGGCTCATCTCCTCTAGGGGGGTCCGGGGGGATGCTCCCCCGGGAAGATTGTTTTTTAAATATTGAAGTTAAATGCATCAATCTGGTGCACTTTGAGAGCAAAATGAAGAGATCTATGGATACCTCTCTCAGCACCCATATGAAGCAGAACTGTAAACAGATGTACTTTTTCTTTATGGATATTTTACTAATCACTCCCCTTTTAAACTCTATTCTTGTTTTACTGCCATATAGCATTTCATAACTGTTTTTCCTTTATTCTCTTTTTTTTTAATAACTATAATGATCATATGAAGGTGTGCCGCGGAAATAATCTTTTGAATAATTTGTGACCAAACCGTTTGAGACCCACTGAGATAACTTAGACTAAAGTTATGTATCTAAACACTCAGAGAGTCCTTTAGCTCACCTGAGTCTCTCAGTCTGAGAGGACTCTCCTCCAGCTTGTTGTGGAACAAACAGCTCCTTATGTCCGTTAGTGCAGCTAGCTAACCAGATGCCAACAACACGGTCCATGCTGGCACCGGTCCCTCCCTCTCTCCCCCCCTCTCTCTCTCTATCACACTAAATGCGCTATTGCCACACACACACACAGGGTGTTTCTCAATCGCGAGTACGCTTGCTTGGTAGCACATGTCTGCCGAGCATCTTGCTTCAGAAGCGAGGCAAGAATACTTCCTGCCATTCGGAAAACAAAGAGTGGAACAGGCTAGCAAGTGTGCAGGTGTGCGTCATATGAGAGGCCCCGCCTTACATCTTCCACCACAGATTTGGGGAAATTGGTCCGTGCAAAGCATTGTGGGGATTTTAAGACCGCGGAGTCTACACATGTGCAGCCTCGATATTTCTCCAAACGGAGTACGCCGGGCTCGGTAGATTTCCAAGTATGCTGGAGATTGGAACAGTACTTCGGCGGCACTCGATGACGTAGTATGCTTGAAATAGTGGCTCTGCAGCAGCTTTACTCGCGATTGAGAAACACCCAGAGAGCCGAGCTAGAATGACACAAGCACACGTTTATTTCCATGCAACTCTCTGATTGGTCTGGTGTCATGCCTCTGTTGCATTCACTGAACACGGGAAATTACAGTGCTGCCGTCCACTCTTGTGTCATGATGAGGTTCACGTAAAGCACGGTTAATGTATTATATTATTGAGGGAGAATTGTCCGGGGCTACAGAAAAAACATTCGGGGCTAAAGCCCCGGATGCCCAGGCCAGGCGACGCCACTGGGTAGAAGTACAAAGTAGCATAACTTGGAAATACTCAAGTAAAGTACAAGTACCTCAAAATTGTACTTAAGTACAGTACTTGAGTAAATGTACTTAGTTACATTACACATCTGATTGTAACATTGTAATCATGCTAGTAATCCCATTTTTTACAAATGTAAAAGTAATCTAATTACATATTTTTTGTTTTGTTACCTGATTACTTAATCCCTTAAAACGTAATCCGTTACTGCCAAACCCTGGTGTTTAATATGTGCTTTATGTTCTGATGCCTTACAGAAATTAATCATAAACAAATGTATTTTTTGTTAATGTGCACATTTATTTGCACATTTTCCCGGGCAGTTCCTGGCCTTTAGCCCTCAAACTCTGAAAAACAGTGCAGTGATTTAGGTTTTTTGGCGAATGTGCAAAAATAGCAGTTTAATGTAGATTCAGCAGATTCAGCAGATCCGCTTCCTCTTCCTGGGATAGTCATATGACCGTCAGAGAGCACACACGCTCACACACACACTCACACTTTGTACTGTATGCTCATCAGCAGTCTGTCTCTTCACTACCCGAAGGTAAGAACTCTTTCCCGGCACACTTTGCCTCCTCTCTGCCGCTGAACCCGACCGATAACCTGCATGAGAAACATCATGTGGACTGACAGTAAATGCATTGTTTTTATCAAAACATTGAATTTTGCTCGGATTTGACAATGTAAATAATGTCTAGCTTGCATTTTACCTTTGATGGCGAAAGATGTAAGACATAACAAGAAGACGCGTTTGAACTGCTTGGTGCGTTTCGCCTCAAGCATTAATGGAACATATCGTCTGTTTATAGTTCTGTTGATCTGCTAATATGACTTTCATTTCGGGGAACTACTCAAAAATGTAAATAAAACACACTATCTTTTAAAGCAGGGATGCGCGGTGTTTGATATGACAGATAATGAACAGGGGAAAAGTGAATGAGAAGCTGTATTAATTCATTAAAATGCTCTTTGATCATCATCATTAAGTATGCCTAATTATTATTTGTTTTCATATTCTGGCGTGCTTTTGACTTGGAAGGATAAATGTAATCCGTTACAATTACTAGTTACCTGTCTTCAGTAACCTCATCTGAGTATCACAACATAAGAGTAATGTAACCTGATTACTTTGCACTACTTTTGGATTAGGTCATTATTAAATGCATGATTGTATTTGTCTGACACATGTTGCAACAATCCCTGATGTCTGTTGCAACTGTCCCAGGGTTGGTTTTGTTGCAACATCTGACTTGTTCCTTACAAATACATATTGTGAACAATCTTTCATGTACAATCATCCTTAACCGGTTTGGGAAATAAGCAAACATATGTACATCTATTGTATAATAATGTGGTTGGTCAAGACGAAGAGTAAACTGAAAGAAAAGCAAAGAGTGTTGCATCATTCCCCAGTGAATGGACCTGAAACCAAATAGCACCTTACTTATTTATATCAGTGAGTTTGTTTGTGTTAAAGTTTGACTGGTGAATCCCATGCAACCCTTTAACACACCAAAACAAAAACAAACATACTTATCGATACCTGTGCCAGGATGTTAGATTTTTGCAAAAACTTTTGTGAGATTGCGCTTCCTGACAACCAAGTCTAACCTAACCATTCTTGTAGGCTGTTATTGCGACTTTAGCAAAAAAAGGCTGTACTGGTTTCAGCCTGCGAGGGGCAGGGGGAGAAACACTTTGACACCCACAAACAAATTCCTTCCACTTGCGATTTATCACAAAAAACAGGCAGAAATCCAATCCAATGCAGTACCAGTTCCTCTGAATCAATGGAGGGGTTATTATGGTGAAATTGTGGTGGACACTGCGATGGATTATGCGGTCAACTCCTACAAAATTCTTAACTTCAATAACTCCAATAGCCAAGTTAATTTAGACAATCTGCTGAGGTGATGAGGAGGATGTTGCTCACAAATACTGTTAGCCCCTGGGAGTCTTGTAGAACATCTAAAAAAGTCAGAAGCTGATGTTCCTGCTTGGAAATAAGGACATCTTTAAATCACTATTCTAAATACTACTTTAACCAGAAGACTTCAAAGCCTGAATGTTTTGTTAAGTATTGTTTAGCAAGGCAGAAGAACATCATTCCTTCATCACAAACGTCTTCTTGGTTCTCTTTAAAGGAGCCATGTCTGCAGTGAAGCTGGAGGAGTTTCGAGAGCGGATTCGTAAAGAACTGGACACCACAGTGGACTTCTGGCTCCAACACTCTCACGACCCTTTGCATGGGTATTGTATCTCCACTGAAATGCTGTTCAAATGAAAATAGTGTACGTCTGTTTGCATGCAGTGTGTCCTTGTGATGACCTTTAACCTGTGCGTTGTGTTTCAGAGGCTTCTTCACCTGTTTGGGGAGGGATGGGGAGGTTTATGATGAGCTGAAGTATGTCTGGCTGCAGGGGAGACAGGTAAGACTGTGTCATAAACAAGAAGTCCAAAGATTGGTTGATTGACAGACAAATAATCCCCAAATATTTTAATAATCTTTAAAGTTTTAGTTCCTGTGACACTGTCAGAAAATGCTGTTGCCTCTGGAATATGGAGTTTTCCTGCTATCATTTTTTTATTTTCTGAAATTGTTCAGACTAAACACTAATCGATTACTCTAGGAAATAATTGGCAGATAATGAAAATAACCGTTAGTAGAAACCCTAATCCACAGTATGAAATGCAGTCATTAGATAATGTTGTATGAATCTTTTGTCTTTTTTCACAGGTGTGGATGTATTGTCGTCTGTACAGAACAATGGATCGCTTCCATAGGCCTGAAATCCTCGAAGCAGCAAAAGCAGGTGTGTGTGTGTGTGTGTGTGTGTGTGTGTGTGTGTGTGTGTGTGTGTGTGTGTGTGTGTGTGTGTGTGTGTGTGTGTGTGTGTGTGTGTGTGTGTGTGTGTGTGTGTGTGTGTGTGTGTGTGTGTGTGTGTGTGTGTGTGTGTGTGTGTGTGTGTGTGTGTGTGTGTGTGTGTGTGTGTGTGTGTGTGTGTGTGTGTGTGTGTGTGTGTGTGTGTGTGTGTGTGTGTGTGTGTGTGTGTGTGTGTGTGTGTGTGTGTGTGTGTGTGTGTGTGTGTGTGTGTGTGTGTGTGTGTGTGTGTGTGTGTGTGTGTGTGTGTGTGTGTGTGTGTGTGTGTGTGTGTGTCAGAGAGAATGTCTAATCTCCTATGAAATGCTTTGGCTAGTTTTCTGTCCTCTAAGAATGCACCACTGAATTTTATAATAATACAAGGTTCAAGGTTCTTTATTTATTATTACACAATATTATGCCGTCCTTGGAGAATGCAAAAAAAACACTGTTCAAAGAAGAATATCGAAGAAATTAAGAAATGATGTGTTCGCAGTTCAAACTGAGTTACAGACCCCAGTATGTTTTTACTTTCCTTAATATGGATGTCCATAAGTAGGGGACATTAAGACATTAGCTTAAGTTAAATGGGACCTCCATGTTCCACACATCTGTTCACAGGTATATCTGTGTACCAGATGGCGCAGCGTGCCGTTCTTTTGTTGACCGAAGTGATTCATGACAGTCGGGATGGTGTTTTCTGTGTACTTTCTGCTAATCATCACTAAGAAAAGCAGTGCCAACGTGACGTCACTGTTGGATGGATCTGCAAAGTGCCATCTTTATGGGAACTTGGAAGCAGCCATGCTTTTAGCATGAGCACTGTGTATTTGTGACACTATGAAGCCTTCAAAGAGTTTAACAGTACATTGTTATAAGTAGGAAATGCACACAATGAAGCATGGGTTCATTAAGATCAAAATATGAAATTCAGCAGCAATATATTTAGGACATTTCCACTATTTAGCACCTAAAAAGCCCAACTGTTGATTGTTTAATTTCTAGTTCAACTAGATGTGCAGCATTTTCTAAAATGTCCTGTCTGTTAAAACTTTGGCAAACATTCACCTGTTAAACCTATGTCTAGATTACAACATGGTAAAGGTCAAATGTGTGAGATATGCCAGAATTGAATGATGAGAATGTTGAGATGCCAACTTTTGGACATACATTACATGAGTTTAGGAATTGAAATACTGCTCCCTATTTCTTAAGGCAGGTGGCTTGGAACTACACCTTTTATAAAGGCTATATGCGTATTGCTCATAATGATGTGTTGGATCATAAGCTGGTGTTATATTCTGTCTCTAAGGAGGAGCATTCCTGAGGAAGTTCACTCGTGTCCCCGGCGCCGGCAGTGGCCAGTGGAAGTGTGCCTTCTCCTTAACTAGAGACGGAAAAGCAGTGAAGATTCAGAGGACTATTTTCAGCGAGTGCTTCTACATTTTGGCCATGGACGAACTGAGCAGGGTTACTGGGGACAAGGACATGCAGGTACAAAATAAATATTAAACTAAATGATATACATGGATTGAAATTGCTTGATTGAATAGAATGTGGATAGAAACTTCTTTAACTGATGGTAGGACTAGATGGAAGTCTGGAAATCATTCAAATTGTCCTCTTGGGAACATCAATGGCTGAACCAAATGTTCCACATCGTGGTGGTGACAGGTAAAAAGTAAAAGCATCACTAAAGTCCCTGCATTGATACGCTGAAAATAGATGTTGTAACTATAGAGCGGTGCAGGGATGATGTATTTCTGCAAGGCGACCCGGAGGTCAGCATATTGGGGCTCCCACTCAAAATCAGATTTTTCCATTGGATATCATTATATTGCAGGAATTAACTCTGTGGCCAACACACGTTTATGATACTTATGTGTTTTGTTCAGCAGGATAATCTCCACACATTAACACCACTGTTAGATTGCAAATTGCCAGAAGTAAAAAGCTTGGTAATGCTATAAAACAAATACTGTACGTTTAGTAGTCCTGTTCAGTTACTTGTTAGCAACAACTGTTTTTAGAACGCATAGAAGCTTCATACATTCACCTGATCACTAGTGTATTTTATTTCGTAGCACAAAACATGAAAATCTCTTCAGCTTGTTTTAACCATAGACCTTGTTTCAGGTTTCTGACAACAATCATGTTCAAAATCGTTAACTTCATGAAGAGGGAACCAGAAGTGGTAAAAGTCATTTCTGGGTTTTAGGACTCATTCCTGCACCACTCTATAGAGTGGCGAAGTCACGCCCATCTACTTCCGGTCCATGGGACCTTATTTCGAAAAAATAATGTATTGAAGTCAATGGAGAGAGAAAACGTATCTTTCGATCCCGTTTGAATTGTGCCATGAATTACACATATGATGTTTGTCAATCTTAAAAAATCATTTCCATGTCAAAAAAGTCACAGTTTGTCGTAAAACTGTTGAAATATAAGACTATGAAAAATACGTAACTAGAAAGACTACAAATCCCAGAGTCGCGTAAGTGATGTCACAATTGTTTTCCTCCACTCTAAGATCAGCGCCATATAGATATAATCTATCTATATGGCGCTGGCTAAGATAAGATAACTTTAACAAGATGCCCAGGAGTGGCTTGATCAAGTTAGCTACCTAGCTAGTAGCTAGCACGTTAGTTAGCATTACAGCCTTGTCATTTGTATTAGCCTTAACATGAAGTAACATTAAGTAACCCAAAATGTTAAACAGTAAGAGTAGTAGTCATATTTCGTGAACCCTTTGAAGAGTACTGTCACCGGTGTGATCATTCTATAATACACAATTTAAGCCCGGGGGAGAAATGCTAACGCTAACGCTAGCGATCTTCTCTACTTCATGCTATCTGCACAAATGGTTGACATTAAACATTAAAACGACCAGGCAGTTCAGAGAGAATCAAAGGAAGGCAGGCAGGCAGCTTTGCATGACATTCTTCAGGACGTGTTTCATTGTGGTGATAGTGAGGGTAGTCAATCGTTTTGTTGACAAGACAGTAGTGACGGCCATCTTGGTGACGTGTGTTGTTGACCAGAGATGTAGTTCATTGAGCGTTTCACACAAACAAATGTGTTACTTCACAGTTTTACGACACATTTTTTTTTTTTTTGACTTGCAAAATTATCTTTTAAATTGACAAACATCATATGTGTAATTCGTGGCACAATTCAAACTGGATCGAAAGATAATCTTTCTCTCTCCATTGACTTCAATACATAATTTTTCCGAAATAAGGTCCCATGGAGGTCCACCGGAAGGGGAGGGACTTCGCCACTCTATTGAATTTATATAGATAAATGTTGCATTACTGAGTCGCCACCAGATTTTTTAAAATCCATACTTGAAGTGCCTCATAAGGGAGTCAGGAGCTGATGTGTTGCATTACTAGCTATCATTCTGTACCCTGCGTACACAGATCACCAGAAATCAGCTGACATGAGACTGAGTGATACAGCAGCTTTTGTTACCCTGTCACCATGCCTGAACATGCTTATCCTTTTCTCCCGCACCTTTCCAACAACATGATTGCACCATCGCTGACGTTTTCTGTGTTGTGTTGCTAGCTGGAGGCTGAGCAGATGATGGAGCAGCTGATCAGCTGGGTGCGGGGGGATCCGGCAGGCCTGGGCCGGCCCCAGCTTCCTGGAGACGTCCCCACCAACAGTATGGCAGTTCCCATGATGCTGTTGTGTCTGGTGCAGCAGCTCACTGAAGGTGGGGGGGCAGAGGTCGTTCAGAAGTACACAGAGCTGGCCAGCTGGTGTGTGCAGCAGATTCTACAACACATCCAGGTGTGGAACATGCAGCATGACTGATGCTCTGTGGTTCAAATGTCCTCGGATATAGTGAGAGTTGGTTTGTGGTGTAGCATCCAAATCAGCATATACCAACACTTTGAATAGTGTGTGACTCTTGTCTCAACCACTTGGGTTTAAAGCATTTAGGGCAAAGTTAGACAAGAGAGTAGCACAGAAAAGTGCTGCTAGACTTAGTCAAGTAGTGACTACCACAGGGCTGTTGGAAAACTACCTTAGCTCGTGAGCTAACTGCTAACAACTTTCCACGCCAACACATTTTATGTCAAAGTTCACCAGACGCTGAACTACATATTGGCACAGAAGTGCTTTGACTCTGGAGGCTAGCAGATCCAATGATTGTAATAATCAATCATGAACAAGTTTCCACTTCTGGAAAAAATGATAGACTAGGGTGGTGTGCACATTAAAATACTGGGTGCAAAATGCTGTTTAACATTTGATTGCAGTCTAGCTGCTGGATGGTGGACCATAAAACATGGGAGTACTGTGGATGATATTTTTATAAACAAAAGAACATTCTCAATATATTACAGGTCAGGTTTATCAACATCAACTAAAACATAATCTCAGTAAGGTTGTCAATTACTTACATTATTTATGAATCTACAGATATAAATTGCTCCCTTTTTTTCACAACATACGAACAAATCAATATGGATCTATCATAACAAATAAACAAAAACAATCTGTTCATTTTAAACTTGAACATGTCATGTCAAACATTTAAGATGTATACAAGTGTAAAGTCCATGTGCGTACTCACAGTGGTGTCCTTTGTTCTGCCTGCAGTCTCTGGACATATGGGAATTTTAAACAAAGTTCACAGCCCCAAAAAAATACCCAGCCTACTTTCCTTTCACTTTTTCAAGTTAGGCGTTAAATTATTCTCAAAACCCCATTGATTTTACATTACCATCGCTCAGTTTAAAATACTAGTTTGACATAGTCATAGCAATAACATATATATAACACTGACAACAAGTACACTGCTGTAGCTAGGCCAATTCTCCACTGTTCATCTGTATACTCATTATGTTTCGTACAATTATTAGCTCTTCTCAGATCATAAATGCCTAATATGCTACTTCAAGCACAGCTCTGTTAGCTCTGCTAAAGGGAAACCCGAAATGCAGCTAAAAAACTGTATTTTTGGCAAGGTCACAAACATTTTATCTTTAAAATCAACAAAACAGTGATAAGCAAACATCCATGTAAGTCAAAACATACTGCTGAGTAACGTCATATTGTTGAGCTTGTTTTTTTGTTATTCTCATTCTCACTACTCACTTCACTTTGACTCTATTTTACACGATTGCAAGTATCTGATTATGTAAACAACTATATTTGTCCTACTCCTGTAACTAACAGAGAGGCGGCACAGCTATTTTAGAGAATGTGTCTGTGGATGGAGCAGAGCTGCCGGGGTGCCAGGGCCGGCTGCAGAACCCAGGTGAACCACAGACTGTATACTTGGATCATATATCAAATAAACCCAGGCAAATCCAGCTCTGCCAGTGAAGGCGAGGGGAGCTTGGGTTGAGATCTTTTCCTGACCTCAATATTTTCTGTTTCTCTTCCCCCACATCCTGGCTCAGGCCACGCCCTGGAGGCCGGCTGGTTCCTGCTCCAGGTCAGCGCCCAGCAGAAGGACGAGGCTCTCCAGAGGACGGCCATCGACAAGTTCATGGAGCTCCCCTATCAGAACGGCTGGGATAAAGAGCATGGCGGCCTCTTCTACTTCCTGGATGTTGACGGTCACTGCCCCACACAGGTGAATCACTCATCTATGCCTGAAGACGTTTTCCACCAGTCTATTCAACTCTGGTTTGCCACCTCAAGATGTTTGAATGAAAATAGCTTTTATAGATATCCATCACCTCAGTCACCTCTCTAAAAACATGCCTACTGTATGTGAATCACATGTAGTATTGGGCAAATATAATGCAGTACAAGTACTAAAAAAAAATTCTACATGCTGCGGTCCCTAACCAGTCTCAGAACTGCACACACATGTGTTCCATGTAACTTAGTTGTGTCATTTTTAAGGTGTTTGTGACCTTTCTTATTTAGGATTGGTATCTTACACTTCTACCATAATGTTCTGAGCCCTTATGCACATTTTATTTAAATTATTAAATAATATTTTTACCAATGTATGACCAGAACATATTGACATTACAATGCCGATCGTCATCCTAAATGAATCTTTATGTTTCCGATGATGCATGCCAGTATTATGTGGCATATAGTGTAAACCTAAAGATCCCCTGCCCCCCATCAAAAAGACAAATACAGGACTATGGAGGTTGGGGAGTGAGAGGTTAGCCAGTGAATATTGTAGTATTTTGCTTGTAATAGTACTTATCGTTAGCATCTGGTTGATTTCTTGAGTTGAATCAAATGTATGAGAGCAGGCTGTCTGATGCCGCTGTGTTGGTTTTCAGTTGGAATGGAATATGAAGCTGTGGTGGCCCCACTGTGAGGCCCTCATCGCCTTCCTGATGGCCTACAGTCACACCAGGGAGCCCGCGCTCCTGCACAGGTTCTCTGAAGTCTTTGAATACACCTTCAAGAATGTGAGTTCACACTGCAGCCAAAGTATTACACACCAGAGGTCAGAGTACTTTTGGGTTGTATCATGGTATATTAACTTATTATAGGGCTAAAATAAAATAATAATAAATGTCAGCTAAAGAAATGTGATTCTGTAACAGACCCTAAGACATCATTCTTCTTTGTTTGTGGTTCAATACTCAACGTATGCGCCTTTTCTGTGATACACACAGTACACAGTAGCAGTTGGGCCGTGTCAGTTGTGTAATTTGAAGGTTAACATTTACAGAAAAGGCATGCCAGTAATGTAAATAAATAACTTTACATCCAAAGTTCATATATACTTTATTTGGAGGACTCAAGACAGATTTGCAGTGTTTTAAATAAAACCGATGTATTTGTATGATCCGCTGATAAACTATATGTGTGCCTGATTCTGGACAGTTTCCTGATGCTCAGAAAGGCGAGTGGTTCGGCTATTTGACACAAGAAGGGAAAGTGGCACTGGATTTTAAAGGAGGCCCCTTTAAAGGTAAGAACATCATTTATGTTTAAAACAGAAGACCTGTTTACACTGCATTTATTGTCCCGTAAATACCCCTGAAAGCGTTAGGAGTAATGTACAGACTTTAAAGTTTTTAGGAATACTGCATATGTGGAGTATGAGCTCCAGATGTTATTCTGTCAGCTATTTTCTAATTAAGTCTCCGTCCTTGATAGTTTTTATCATATTATCAACCTCATTCTTTGAGTTGACAAAAAAGTCCGGATTTATTCGTCTTGTCTTATTTTTTAAACCACATGTTAATGCACTTCCGTGTAGGGATGCATATCGTTGACTTTTTTACGATACCGATACCGATACCGATACCACTGAACGATACCGATACTCAACCGATACATATCGTGATACTTTCATGTTGCATAAGGGAAACATTTTATCATCCCGCAATTACTCCCATGAAGCGCTTTATTATATAGTTAACATGTCAAATGAATATTAAATTCAATTGTGGGACTTGGACCTTTTAGTACTGAACAAACAATGAAAAACACATTATCTATGAAGAAAACTGATTCTGCAATATCATTTATAACAACCATCAGGCGGGAATAGTACATCTTGTCAATGGAAAAATAAAATAGCACCAGTATAATCACTATTCAACCTGAGATTCGACTGACCAGAGAACACATAAAGGATCATGAGATCTCGGCATTGCACATAAAACAAATAGCATCCTTAAAATCAACATTTGCCTGATGAAAGAAAACAAATCCCATCACAGTTCAGTTTTGTGCATTCATCTTCAAGAAGATGAGCATATCTGCTCTCTCTGGATCCAAACGGGCCCTTTCACAGCGTAGGATATCACCTGCTAAACTGAACACTCGCTTGGCACGCTGCTTCCCTGAACACAAAGGTACTTGGTTGCCATACGAGACAGCATTGGTTGGAGATTGGATGTGTTGCCACCTTTCCCAGAAATAAACTTCTTGCAGTGGTTACAGACCCCACCATTCAGACTGGCAGTGGTTACAGACCCCACCATTCAGACTGGCAGTGGTTACAGACCCCACCATTCAGACTGGCAGTGGTTACAGACCCCACCATTCAGACTGGCAGTGGTTACAGACCCCACCATTCAGACTGGCAGTGGTTACAGACCCCACCATTCAGACTGGCAGTGGTTACAGACCCCACCATTCAGACTGGCAGTGGTTACAGACCCCACCATTCAGACTGGCAGTGGTTACAGACCCCACCATTCAGACTGGCAGTGGTTACAGACCCCACCATTCAGACTGGCAGTGGTTACAGACCCCACCATTCAGACTGGTAGTGGTTACAGACCTCACCATTCAGACTGGCAGTGGTTACAGACCCCACCATTCAGACTGGCAGTGGTTACAGACCTCACCATTCAGACTGGCAGTGGTTACAGACCCCACCATTCAGACTGGCAGTGGTTACAGACCCCACCATTCAGACTGGCAGTGGTTACAGACCCCACCATTCAGACTGGCAGTGGTTACAGACCCCACCATTCAGACTGGCAGGGTTACAGACCCCACCATTCAGACTGGCAGTGGTTACAGACCCCACCATTCAGACTGGCAGTGGTTACAGACCCCACCATTCAGACTGACAGTGGTTACAGACCCCACCATTCAGACTGGCAGTGGTTACAGACCCCACCATTCAGACTGGCAGTCATATGCAGCCACACTTTAGATTTTCAAAAGTGACTTGGTTGCGGAGTTTCACTGCGAAATTGACATCGTAATTCCGACGGTTTGGGCACAAGTTTAAGGATATTATGCCTCACTTTTATTAAAAAAAATAAATAATCGAAAACCGGATCTGATTTCGGTACGGTATACCGTAGCCACCAGTAACCGGTATTTCGGTAATACCGGGAACCGGTATGCACCCCTACTTCCGTGATGCATACAGTATTACCACGCACATAATCACAAACTCATTTCCAGTGAACGTTTCCTGCTTTGTCTGTTAAGTAAGATAATGTTTCTCCTCTCCTCTCTAGGGTTCTTCCATGTGCCTCGCTGCCTGTACATGTGTGAGCGTATTCTGGATGATATGCTGGCAAACAAGGACCGAGCATTTTGACATGATTGTTCACAACAACAACAAAAAATCAGAAACATGATCATCAAAAATGTGTTTATATGTAAAAATGTGTCTTACAAATGCAGCATACTAAATGTTTAAACCAGCTTTGAAGACCTTTTTATGGAACTTGTATAATATATCCAGTGGCGTTTTTATATGTACAAAAGTGGTGGGGCACAAAAAACTTAGATGTCTATATATAAGCTTCTGCAGTGACGTGATGTGAGGTTCATGACTGCTGAGGCACTGGCACTGACTCTTCAGGTTTACAAATATTATATTTTGACCTAAACCAAAATATAATATTATTTTCAAAAGCTTTTTTTGTCTGATGCTTCGATTAATTTTAAACAGACAGTTCAACAAAAGGATACCCAAAAAATGTAATTTGATCATTTAAATATTGAATTGTTCTCTCTAAGTAAGATCCCATTTTCAAAAAATTGCGGTCTTACCTTGACTTGAAGATGAAGTCCATTTGCCTATCCTTCTGGACAAAAAATTCTATAACTTTTTTGTAAAAGTCCTCCTTATCTTCTAGTAGTTTCAAAAGTCTATCATAAATCTAATCGATAGATTTATGATTCGAAAATGATAAAAGTAGGGTAGACATGTGGATATTATCCGGCTGAACAAAACGTGCATTTATCTAACAGGTACGTTTCCCACAGATCTTATTTCAAGCTATTTTCTAAAATCCTATAGAGAAACCTCATTGCTTTTTTGCAGCTTACTTCCTGGTTTTAGGACGCGTCACTGCAGCTCTCGTCTCCTCTTATTATACATCCATGCTCTTCACACACCACACTTTTCGCGGCACACGTACTTACAGCCAATCAGCTCTGAATGATGTGAGATGACGTATGGTGGGGATGGCAGCTCTGTGCCCCTATGGTGTTTTTTTTTTTGCCACACACATTACATTGAAAAATACTCTGAGCATGCGCAGTGTAGTTTTTACAGTCACCGTTCACTTTGACAGTGAAAGGGTGGGGCATGATCAGGTTTTGTCCCACATGGCTCTAAACGGCACTGTAGACACTAATTAGAAGAACACAGACTAAAACAGCAATGCACAGACGAATCAGATGATTAAACATAACCTTAAAATATATTTTATATATTTTTTTATTTCTTTTTTTGCATCTCTTTCCATTTTTTGTAATCATTATGTGTAATACTTTCTGCTGACACTAGGTGGGGCTGTGCCCCACCTGCCCCTAATGACCAGTCGCCACTGAATATATCCATTCCAGTTATTACATACAACCAAGCTAGAAGCAAATTGATGGCTTTTTTATCGTGAAGTGAAGCATAACGTGTGTTAGAAAGATATTTAAGCTACTGTAGCTTTATGCTAATGATATGCTTCTGTAGACAGGCTAATACATGTATGTAATTTTGTATTGAAATATTGCAATATTATAAAATAAATGTGAAATACCTAAATGATGTTGTTGGATTAATTTGTAATCAGATAATTTATATAGGCTATAAGGCAGGTAATTAAAGAACATTTTATCGAGCCTGGAATCCTAGATAAATTACATTTTAAAGTAAGAGAGCGATCTACCATAGTAAAAACAGCATGAGAGTTCTTTTTTAATCAATTTGTAAAGTTGCTAAGGCTAAATTGCGATGCTGTTTATTTACCAGAGATGGGAAGTAACTAAGTACATTTACTCAAGTACTGTACTTAAAGGTAGGGTAGGTAATTCACTTCAGAAACACTTTTTGTTATATTTCATGGAATGCTCTTAACATCCCGATAGCAATGAATACATGAAATGCTTTGACAATAAATATATACAAATATTTCATCTGTGTGGAAGCCGTAGTACTGTAAAAAGCACGACCAATCATCTGAGCCGGCCCGGCTAAAATAACTGGATGGCCTACCTGCCTGTCAGCCTTCCATCTGTGCACAAACTTATCTCGTGTCCTCATTGGTCATGTGTGCGTTCGTGTGTGTTGGAGGAGGGGCTCTGTAAGGAAGTCTGAAGGAAGAGGCAGATTTCTTTCAGTTGTGTACTTTCAAATTCTAGCGCACTCGAGCTGGTTTCTCCATTCTTACCTATACCTTTAACTACAATTTTGAGATACTTTACTTGAGTATTTCCATTTTCTGTAATTTTTACTTACTGTATACCCTACTACAGTTCAGAGGTAAATTGTGTACTTTTACTCCATTACATGTATACCTTTAGCTACTTTACAGATCTGGATTAATGATGTGAAATATAATCAGCTCTTAAATCAGACTTTAGTTCCACCTGGAGTAAATCCACAAGCTACCCTGCAGTATACAAAGTCATTCAAACTAGCTGCACCTTTACCAGCTTTGAGAACACTTTAATGATCAATCATTATAAAACATATCATATATATTATTCTGAAATGGACCAATCTGCACAATGACTACTTTTACTTTAGCTACTTAAAGTACATTTTGATGAGAATACTTTTCTACTTTTACTTGAGTAACATTTTGAATTAATGACTTTTAATTGTAACAGAGTATTCCTACACTTCTACTTTTCCTATAGTACAAGATCTGAGTACTTTTCCCACCTTCTCTATTTACACTTCCTTGTCTCTTTATATGCTCCACTATGTGTACCAGCTTCTTTATTTTTTTACTATTCAGTGGGTTTCTTATTTAAAAACTGGATATAATTAGTATGATTATGATATATTTTTATTTATGGGAAAATTTCACATTGAAGAGATAGACTGACTCCAACGTTCACCAACTCGCTCTTTTACCTTTAATTTGTTGTATCTTTCTTTGTTATTTTGACTCTATCCCATAGACTGTATATATACAGCTCTTTATAGGGTTTGTGTAAAGATGTTCATAATTTATATATTTTTTTAGTATATATGATTTTAATATATAATATCTATTCCATGAATGTATAAGATAAGATAAGATGGACCTTTATTAATTAATTAAATTCAGTACTTTACTATCATAAGAACGGTTTATTATGATAGTTGTCACATGACTCTCAAGAACAAAATAACCCGGATCATCCCTTGCTCTTCCGTCAATCTTCCGGATCCACGGGGCTCACAGAGCATGCGCACTTGCGTTTTTCTTAAGCCTTGCATCCGGTTTGCTGCTTCACGTCCCTTCTTGACTCAATGAAATTACTGGAGTGGAAAAATAACCATGTATTCGGCTTTAAGGGCATTTTACAACTTTAAGGTCCTTGTGATTCAAATAAGAGCTATTCTGATTTACAAACGCCACTTTCTCAATGTTAGTTCATGGGAAATAATCTGTTTGGGCCCGGACACGGAAGTGTAGTATCAACGTTTGGCCACTATGAAAACGCCTGCCTTCCTGTGGGCTTGCATTAAAACCTTTATAGAGTGGCGAAGTCCCTCCCACTTACTTCCGGGGTATGGGACCTTATTCCGGAAAAGTTATGCATTGAAGTCAATGGGGAGAGAAAACTTATCTTTCGATCCCGTTTGAATTGTGCCATGAATTACACATATGATGTTTGTCAATCTTAAAAAATCATTTCCATGTCAAAAAAGTCACAGTTTGTCGTAAAACTGTTGAAATATAAGACTATGAAAAATACGTAACTAGAAAGACTACAAATCCCAGAGTCGCGTAAGTGATGTCACAATTGTTTACCTCCACCATTCAGATACCTAAGATCAGCGCAATATAGATATAATCTATCTATATGGCGCTGGCTAAGATAAGATAACTTTAACAAGATGCCTGTGTGCTTAGTACCAGGTTGTTATTATACCAGCAATGGGTCTTGCTCGTTCTTTTGCTTCCCGTCTGATGAAACGACCAGGAGTGGCTTGATCAAGTTAGCTACCTAGCTAGTAGCTAGCACGTTAGTTAGCATTACAGCCTTGTCATTTTTATTAGCCTTAACATGAAGTAACATTAAGTAACCCAAAATGTTAAACAGTAAGAGTAGTAGTCATATTTCGTGAACCCTTTGAATAGTACTGTCACCGGTGTGATCATTCTATAATACACCATTTAATTCCGGGGGAGAAATGCTAACGCTAACGTTAGCATCGGCGATCTTTTCTACTTCATGCTATCTGCACAAATGGTTGACATTAAACATTAAAACGACCAGGCAGTTCAGAGAGAATCAAAGGAAGGCAGGCTTTGCATGACATTCTTCAGGACGTGTTTCATTGTGGTGATAGTGAATCGTTTGTTGACAAGACAGTAGTGACGGCCATCTTGGTGACGTGTGTGGTTGACCAGAGATGTAGTTCAGTGAGCCTTTCACACAAACAAATGTGTTACTTCACAGTTTTACGACACATTTTAATTTTTTTGACTTGCAAAATTATCTTTTAAATTGACAAACATCATATGTGTAATTCGTGGCACAATTCAAACGGGATCGAAAGATAATCTTTCTCTCTCCATTGACTTCAATGCATAACTTTTCCGAAATAAGGTCCCATTGGGCTCAACCGGAAGGGGAGGGACTTCGCCACTCTATAGAGTGGCGAAGTCCCTCCCCTTCCGGTGGACCTCCATGGGACCTTATTTCGGAAAGAATATGTATTGAATAGAGATGGCAAATCCGGATCATTTTACGGACTCAGGGTCTTCTGAGTCAGTCATTGAAGAGATCCGGATCATACGAGTCATTTGAGTCATATGAGTCAGCATGACCAAGACCGTAGAAATCCTATTGGTGAAACCGAAAAGTTGTTGCATTTCACGAGCATATTATTATTCCATATATTTTGAATATATATATATATATATATTTGTATATATATATATATATATAATATCTGCATGTATATTTTCTATTTCGACATGTATATTTTATATTTTATTTTATTTTTATTTCTATTCTTGTATATTTTGTAGTTTTGTTTTATTGTAAAATGCCTTATGCTGCTGTCACAACAACAATTTCCCAATTTGGGATCAATAAAGTACTATCTATCTATCTATCTATTAAACTGACGTTATATTAACCTCCGCTACACAGTGTATTTTGCTTTAATAAAAAATGTTGATCACAAAAAAAAGGGTTATTTTGCGATTTGGCAAATCTGAGTCTGCTGTTGACTCGTGCATGAGGACGAGTCTGCTGGATCTCTGGATCTGCTGCTATATACGGCTCCGAGTCCGCACGAGTCTGCTCTGCTGTGTGTTGCACACACAGTGAGTCAGGATTTGCGAATCCGAGTCTGCTGTGGACTCGTGCATGACGGACGAGTCTGC